AAGGTGCTCTAAGCAAGGCCCTGTGCCCGTCTTGCGTCTGCGTCCCTTCCAACAACGACAGGGTTACCAACAGAGGGTGTGCCACCATTTGTTCTGGTCCCATGGTGCACAGGCTTTAGTGTGGAATTAGGAATTTCTTTTCAAACAATTTTCTTACAAGAAGTCTTTTCCTGCACTTGAAGGGTAAACAACAAGCAAGCAGGGGAGAGGAGTTTAAAAATAGTATTTTTAAATAGAGTGTTTTTAAATAAAAGGAAGAGTACTGCAAAACAAGGAGAGCTAATGCGTGAGCCTAATGCCCAGCAGCAAGCGAGCGCTCGGGCCGGGCACCAGCGGCCCTGTCCCCCCACCCCAGCCTCCTGCACGCGACCTCAAGCTGGGCAGAGGCCAACCAGCAACGCTGAGCCCGCAGCGGGGGGATTAAGACACCCTACTCCAGAATCCGACCCTAACGCCATCCACCCTGTGCTGCTGACGTTCCCAACGTCCAACTTGAGTCAAGTGCGTTGATGAGGCTGAATCAGCGGGTAGGCCAGGCCCCACCCGCCGTGTGATAATAGGGGAGTTGGGTCACCCCTCCTCCCGGGTTATCTAAGCCCCTCAGCAGAGCTCAGGGCTCCGATAAAGCATACAAGCAATGTTACCCCTTCACCCAAAAAGCTGCACAACTCAGATTTTCAAACAAGTCATTCTCCTTCCCAAACCCAGGCAAGACTGAACCGTGAATCCCGCGCTTACACTACGTACCAAGCTGGGTGGCTGCTTCAGCAGCAGCATGGGGCCCAGCGGCAGCCTCTCCCATCTGCGTTAGCAGGCAGCGCCCGTGTTTGTTTGCTTTCTCTCACGTTAGGCTGAGCAGGTGAGGCAAATGTTCTTCCATATTGCAAGTGAGGTGCCCCCTCTCAAGATGCTAAGACCAGTCACGCGTATACACGTGTTTCTGTGTCCGAATGTTGCTGACTGGTCACGAGGCAACTCGTGTCTGCACTTACACTCATGTAAGTCATTTTAAACCCCTTGCTGACCAAAGTAGCCGGCCGGACAGGCGAGTTCTGGCACAAAATAGCTGGTCAGCAGGGTCCACAAGATTGGCAAGGGTGGAAGGAAACTGACACCCAGGACCTGTTTCCAAACTCCTGCCAAGAAGTTGTCAAAACCTGGAGGTCACTGGGAACCTAGCCTCTTTCAGGAAATACTCAACAAACTACACCAAAACCCTCCACCGCTACCCAGTTCAGACAAAATGCAAGCATTTGGCTTACCTGACAGGTGATGGCCTCCACTCGGTAAGGGTTGTAAGACTTCTGACAAGTTCTGCAGAACTGCTTAAAGTAAACCTGTGACGAGAAAGGGAAAACTTAAAGCGAAACCCTTCTGACACTGTCAGAAAGATGCCGGTCACGTGGTGTTTCTTACCTTGTTAGTGCCCTGCACACACCACACGTAGGCACTTTCCCAGCGTATGTTGCAGTCCTTACAGTGATAGTAGCCGTATTTCTGCTCCAAAAACTGAACAAAAGACCAGAGTTTAACCAATGTGACATCTGAATCATTTCAAAAGCTGAGAAGGATCTATTTGATATTTAAAATTGGCAACTGCATTCAGATGGTGGAGAAAAGTAGGGTCAGGTTCGAATTAGTCCCTACTAGTAATCAGGTGAGCTAATGGCCTAATTAAGCAGGTAAGCAAACACGGGCCCAAGAAGGTTTATACGCCAGGTTAACTTGGTTCATAAAGCTAATTATTGACAAGTTACTGAGGTGTTTTCCCTTAGGCACGGAAAAAAACAAACAGCCAGGGTTCTCTACACCTTGAGGTTCTTTAGGGAGCCTTTTCAGTGGGATCAAGTCCAGTTTTAGAACATACAGGTGAAAGTGGTTAAGCTGAAGAAAAGGCATCAGACTGCACCCTGGAGCCCTCTGAGGCGTTTCACCCAGATCAAGTCCTCTACGCTGTTAGTTCAGTTTCCACCAACCAGCAGAGCTAAGAATCCAGCGGTGGATAAGCCATAATCCATGTGCAACGCGAACGAAAGTAGTAGTAGTGCCTTGTTCTTAAGCTGTCTTCCTTGCCACCGACACACCAGTTTTGCAAACAAGTTTTTGGAATTAGGCCTTTAGAAGTGAAAGGAGCTGGGAGAGCACTCAGAGCAGTTTCACAGGCGAGCAAAGTGAAGCCCAGGAAGGCTAGGAATTAAGATGGCCCGTGGGTTGTGCACAACTTCTTGGCTCACCGCTGCTCCTTCCCACTGCCCCCCTGCTTCAGCAGCCGGGGGGCTGCGGGGGACACCCACGGCCTGCTGGCGGCGTAGGACCTACCCGTGCCTCCCACTTCCCTGGGTGACACCTGCGCTCAGCGGGCTCCAGCCCTCTGGGGTTCAGCCGGTGCGAGCGGGCCCTGCAGGCCTGCCGTGCACAGCGGCCCCCCGCTTCTGAGAGGAGGTGCTATTTCAGGAGCGAGGAGAGGTGCTAAGGGGCACTGCAGCAGCTCTCGCTTCCAGCAGCAGCTTTGGAAACCCCAAAGAGCCGTGCGGGGCACGCTGCCCAGCACCCCTAGTAGCTGGCCGGTGTGGTTTTTGCCACATTAAGTTCGGAAAAGTGAGCGGAACCCTTGGGAATCAACTGTCCCGCCAACAAGCCCACCTTCCGACGTCCAGCTAAGCGCCCGCCTAGATCGCCCCCGCGGGACAGCGCGCCCGCGCCCCGAGTTCAGAGCAACCGCCCAGAAGACGGAGTTAAGAGGGGCCTCCCCCGCCGGACCTGGGGCTGTGCTTTCAACCCCCGGGATCGG